TAGGAGCCTCAAAAACCAAGAGGAAGAAGTGTCTCCGAGGGAAATACATCAGGAACGGCGGCACAAACTGAGGGCCACAATCTAGCCACAGCTGTGTTCTGTTCAACTTGCACGCTGTTTTTAAATCAACTGCCAATATTTAAAAATTAGGAAATTTTGCACCAAAATTAGAATTGCTGGCTCTTTTTGAAAAATCTGATGGCCTGGCCACTTCACTGGGTCTACATTCCTATATAGGAGCCACCAGCTGGAAGGCAGTTTCAACTGCCCATTTTAGAGAGGCCTGTGTTCTCCAGGTCCACAGAACCCACCGCTCCCTATTGCCTCACCATGACTAGCCTCACTCATTTACATTTTCTGCCTGGTCTCTGAATTTACGAAGCTGATCAAGAAAGGGGGAGAGATCCTCCTTAAGACTAGAAAAGCATTACCCCAGGCTGGCAAGAGGGGAAAGGATCATTGACAGAAGTTTGAGGGTCCATAGAGAGAGAGCTGGATTTGAAGGGGCCACAAGGAAACACATAAGCAGCGGTGTGCTGGTAAATGTTTAACAACTGGTTCTCCAGGAAAAATTGTTATTGTTGTTGTTACATGCTGTGGAATCGGTTTTGACCCAGCCATCTTATGCACAACAGAATGAAACACAGCCAGGTCCTACACCTTCCTCACCATCATTGCTATGTTTGAGTCCATTGTTGCAGCCACCGAGTCAATCCATCTTGAGGGTCTTCTTCTTTTTCACCGACCCTCTACCAAGCATGATGTCCTTCTCCAAGGACTGGTCCTTCCTGATGACATGTCCAAAGTATGTGAGAGGAAGTCTCACCAGTCTCACTTCTAAGGAGCATCCTGGCTGTACTTCTTCCAAGACAGATTTGTTCATTCTTCTGGCAGTCCATAGTATATTCAATGTTCTTCGCCAACACCATAATTCAAAGGCATCAATTCTTCTACGGTCTTCTTTATTCATTGTCCAACTCTAGGAATTTAAAGGTGTTTATACACACACGCTAAGATAAAGGAGATGTTTGTTGCACACAATTTACAAATATTAATATACAATGCTTTTTATTGTAAATTCCACACAGCCAATTGATTCCCACAGAGCACTTTTGTTGATTTTTGCCAAACTCTTGTATCCAAAGCCCACTATCATGATTCGACAAAATTAGAGTGGGAACAAATGTTTGATAGCTACGTGATTCAGCAAAGAAGCTGCTCACATGACTGAAGAACAAGTGGAGTTCTGACATGAATGTTGGTTGAAATGTTTTGTTTACATTAATGAGTAAGACGAAAGTCAACAATGACTAACTGAATGGGACTAACTGACTCATCCCGCTGAGACAGGGGATTATGTCAGAACTTCATTACTTCATCAATGACATGAGCAACTTGTTTGCTGAATTGGACAATAGTGTCTGAATACCGGAAGAACATTTCCTCAGGCTTTTTTTGGTGCTATTCACAACGTAACAGCTAGACATGACACACTTTTAAGTTTCATTTGCATTTTTAACATTTTATCCATCCCTTTCTTACGTCTAGAAAATCAACAAAACAATAAATCAAGCCCTTATATGTATTTGTTCTCCGATTTCCGTGACGCAATACACCCCCGTGACCAGTTGAAGCTACCAATGTGATGTCACTGAACACAGAATCGAGAAGAGATTCACGTTATCTCCTGTACTTCCCCTGGAGAGATATGACAGATGAAAGTAACCTCGAGAGCACAGACAACAGGAAAATGTAGTAAAATAATTAGAAACGATGTGTTTTGGGCATTTATTACCTTTGTTGCTAATATAATTTATTTAATTGTCAGTTTAAATAATTTGAATTTTTATAGTGGCCATGTTTAACAACAAGCTCACAAAAATCTCAGAGATTTAACAATCAGTTCTGGCAAGCCAGTACAAGCTGGCTCCAGCACTCCACCGGATATAAAGGAAGTATCTAGAAACTGAGAGGAGGAGAGGGGACCTCAAGAGGCCAGAGTCCTGTTGGGGCTGAGCAGCATCTACAAAGCATCTTCCAATGCCAGCATCTCAACCTCCTTTAGCTTCATTCCCTCAGCATCCAGGAACTCCCTATCAGCTCATCTTTTAGAGACCTCTGGCCTGAGCTACTTGCTCAGTCTCCATCTGACTCACCTCTTGGGGACTATCTTAGTTATCTAGTGCTGCTATAACAGAAATACCACAAGTGGATGGCTTTAACAAACAGAGATTCTCTCACAGTCTAGTAGGCTAGAAGTCTGAATTCAGGGCGCCAGCTCACAGGGAAGGCTTTCTTTCTCTGTCAGTTCTGGAGGAAGGTCCTTGTCATCAATCTTTGCCTAGTCTAGGAGTGTCTCAGTGCAGGGGCCCCGGGTCCAAAGGACACGCTCAGCTCCTGACTCTGCTTTCTTGGTGGTAGGAGGTCCCCCTGTCTCTGCTCGCTTCTCTCTTTTATATCTCAAAAGAGATTGACTCAACCTAATCTTGTAGATTGAGTCCTGCCTCATTAATATAACTGCCTCATTAACATCACAGAGGTAGGATTTACAACACATAGGAAAATCACATCAGATGACAAAATGGTGGACAATCACACAATACTGGGAATCGTGGCCTAGTCAAGTTGACACACATTTTTGGGGGACACAACTCAATCCATAACAGGAACCATCCCTTTCCAACGTCCCAAAGGTGGCCACCTGGATAACTGTGGGTGAGCAGAAATCCCCCACACCCTGACTAGCTGAATGGGACTAGCTGAAGACTCTCCTGGAGGGAGATAGGGATATTTAACAAAAATGTGATGAGAAAACTGAGGCTTAAGGCAGTTGTTACTTACCCAAGGTCAACAGCTGCCAAGAGGTGGAGGCAACATTGACAACCAGGTTTGCCAGCTTCCAAACCCATCTTTCTACAAGCCACCCTGCATCCTCCTGGAAACAGCTCCAGCTGCCTACTACATCTGCTGTGACCTTGCTTGGATTTTGGTGCATACAACTTTGGAATTCGACTTTACTTCCCCCCATTTAAAACTTATCCTCCCGAAAGAGACGACTGGCAACTCAAAGGCAGGGCCCATGGTGAATATTTGTTGTGTTACCACCATTTAGAATTCTAGCTCTTTGGAACTGGAAGGGATCTGAAGAGCTGCCTGGTCCAGGTCCCCCAGGTTGAGAAAGGGGAAACTGAGGCTCACGGTCATGCAGCAGTGATGCCACCAGGACTAGAACTCAGGCCTCCGATCAACCACTCGAGCTGTTGGTGAATGACAAATATTCTGGATAAGAGATATAGAGGGGGTGAATAAAACTGAGATATAAGAACCAAAAAAGTGGGCTTGCCCTCATCAAAAAGCCTCAGCCAGATGGAAAGAGAAGAGATAATATGGCATTCTCAGTTGGATTTAAGGGTGATAGCAGGAGAGATTTCCTGCCAAGATTGGTACCCTAGAGGTTCTCTGGCAAAGCCCATGGTGCAAAGAAGGCTTGATAAGATGTTCTCATTATAAGTACTTCAGACATGCTCCAAGCCAATGGAGAAACTGAGACACAAAGGGAGATTCTCGGGAATCCTAAGAGCTTGAGACTCAAAGTGAAGATATGTGAGTTCTCAGACTTTTGATCATTTTGCCACAGCAAAAAAAGACCTCCTCTGGGGCACGGGTGACTCTAGGAGGATCACTTGGGACTCTGGGGCCCTGGGGCCCAGGCAAGCGGGAAGCTGGAGACTGTCTGCTAAAGCCATGGTTCCAGCATCTTCCGGACAGCTCAGGAGGCTGTGGAGACTTCAATGCGGCTGTACTGGATGCCAGCTGAGCTCTGCCTGCGGCCAAAGCCCAGGGTGAACCTGCTGAATAGAGAGCACGCAGGGTCAGAAGGTGGCACAGCCTGCGGGCCCTTCTGGGGAGATGGGAGTGGACCCTACCCCATCCTCAGCGCCCCAACCCCTTCTGCCTAGAACACTGGAACATTTTCTTCCAAGAAACACCTTGAGATTGTTGACTTTTTCTCATCATCCAAGTCGCAGCTCAACTGGCACCTCCTCAGAGAGGCCTTCTTTGACCACTCTTTTATTCATTCAAAAAAGACATAATTATTGATTACCTGTGATTTGCCGGGCACTGTTCTAGGCCCTGGGAATACAGCAGTGAACAAAACAGACCCATAAAATTTCCCTGTGCTCATGGAGAACTCATGATAAACTTATTCACGAATGAACCCATAATACACTTGTGCCCATAGTGCACACGTGCCCATAGTGTACCCGCACCCAAACTGCACCTGCGCCCATAGTGCACCTGCACCCGCCCATAGTGCACCCACGCCCATAGTGTACCTGCGCCCATACTGCACCCGCACCCATAGTGCACCTGCACCCAAAGTGCACCTGCACCCGTAGTGCACCTGCGCCCGTAGTGCACCTGCGCCCGTAGTGCACCTGCGCCCGTAGTGTACCTGCGCCCAAAGTGCACCTGTGCCCATAGTGCACCTGCGCCCATAGTGTACCTGTGCCCAAAGTGCCCCTGCGCCCATAGTGTACCTGTGCCCAAAGTGCCCCTGTGTCCATAGTTTACCTGTGCCCTAGTGCCCCTGTGCCCATAGTTTACCTGTGCCCAAAGTGCACCTGCACCCAAAGTGCATCTGCGCCCATAGTGCACCCACGCCCGTAGTGCACTTGCGCCCATAGTGCACCTGCGCTCGTAGTGTACCTGCACTCAAAGTGTAACTGTGCCCATAGTGCACTTGCGCCCATAGTGCCCCTGTGCCCAAAGTGCATCTGCGCCCGTAGCACACATGCACCCATGGTGTACCTGCACCCATGGTGTACCTGCACCCAAAGTGCTTCTGTGCCCACAGTGCACCTGTGCCCGTAGTGTACCTGCACCCATGGTGTACCTGCACCCAAAGTGCATCTGTGCCCATAGTGCACCTGTGTCTATAGTACACTTGTGCCTGTAGTACATTTGTACCCCTAATATACTTGTGCCCATAGTATACTTGTGACCTAGCTGTAAAGTAAATGCACCCCCCTTCCCCTGCAAAAAAAAATTCACTGGTTACTGTCTGATAGGTTGGAACCTGCTTTATTTTCTTCATGACATAAACACCACCCAGAAATTATTTTATTTATGCATTTATGTGTTTTCTAATCTCTCCTCCTACATTGAAATGTAACTTCCCCATGAGTTCAGAGACAGAGGTCTCTCCTGGTCATGGGTCTGTCCTCCCACCTCAGGGCCTTTACACTTGCTGTTCACTCTGTGGGAATGCTCCTCCCCCTCATCCTCCCAAGGCTGCCTCCTTCTTCTTCTCACTAACGTGTCATCTAAACTGCACCTTCTCAGAGAGGGTTTCCCTCTTAGCCACAACCCCCTGCCCCTCTGTCCCCCTCTCTGCCAACCTGGCCCTCTCGACATATTTGGCTCTGTTTAATTTTCTTTTAACCACCTATCACTAAACAAAATGCTCTTTTTAATCATTTGTTGGCTTGTTTATTTTCTGACCCCTTCCCCACCAGACTGGAAGCTCCGTAAGTACCAGGACCTCATTGATTTTATTCTCTGCCATATTTCCCAAGGCCGAAAACACTGTCTCCTACTGAACAAATGGAGTAAACCCCCAGCTCTATGTGTGTGACTCTAAAAGTCCATAATCGTAATTCTACTACTCTGTGGTTTTAAGATTCTACTATTTTAACCTTTTATGATTTCATACTAGTTGCTGTCAAGTCAATTCCAACTCATGGCGACTCCATGTATGGCAGAGTAGAACTGTGCTCCGTAGGGTTTTCAATGGCTGATTTTTTCAGAAGTAGATCCCTGGGAGGTCAAATGGTTAGCACGCTTGTCTGCTAATCAAAAGGCTAGAGGTTCGAGTCCACCCAGAGGCATCTTGGAAGAAAAGTCTGGTGATCTACTTCTGAAAAATCAGCCACTGAAAACCGTATGGAGTACAGTTCTCCTCTGACACACATGGGGTCACCGTGAGTCAGAATCGACTCCACGGCAATTGGTACGATTCCATAATAGCATGACTTAAAAATTCCTGAGAGCTAGGCCTTACAGTCAAATGAAACTCCACTGCAGGAAGACACAGAAGGAAGACACAGACTCTAGGAAAAGAGCTTTTATATGAAGACAGGACAAAGCTCACAGTGTCCAGGCAGTATGAGACAGGAAGAGAAAAAAAAAAAGTTATCTTTGCAAAGGAAAGTACAAGAGCTAAAATCCTGTGGCGATGATCTCAGGGTTTGATGTGACTCTGCCCCCCAGGCCCGCCCTGTCAGTCACGTACCGTGTCCTCTGGAACTGCTGGTCTATCTCCGCCAGCGACTGGCCTTTTGTTTCGGGAACGAATAAATAGATGAAGCCCAGGCCAAGGACAGCAGTCAGCCCATAGAGCAGGAAAGTCAAGGACAAGCCAATGGCACCTGGGAACAGGATGGGGGAATGTGGGGTGGGTGAGTGAGGACTCTGGCCCCACAGTGTAGGCCAAACCTAGGGTTCTAGGTCTTCTAGGTCAAGCATCAAAAACCAGTTCACCCAAAGCAAATTCTCCAAACAGTCGATTTGCAAAATGACCAATTTCTCAAAAGCTGTCAGATAAGGATCTTACAACAAAGTGGGACTGGTTGTCCCCGAGGTAGGGGCAGGGCCAGATCCACAAACACAAAGACAGAGGCAACTGGGGTTTACAGGGAAGACCACTTGCCCACAGAAAACACAAAGTGCGGAGTGCAGCGTGCTCAGAGTCTGAAGACGTGAGCTGAGGGAAAACTGCATTCAACTCAGCAGCAAAACAGCTGCAGGGATGCAGCCTTGCAAAGCTCAGCTTCGAAAAAAATCCTCAGAAATTCCATGAATTGGTCATTCTGTGACTCAATCATGCAGAGAGTTGAGCTTCAGCCAAGTTTGGGAGGCAGGACAGACGCCACGGCTCAGTCCGTCAGGCCTCACATCCCCCCTCTCTGTCCCAGCTAGCCTTTCTCTCTTCCTGTGGTCTCAGGCAGAGGCCAGGGGGTCAGGGCTAGCCAGCCAGCTGGACCTGATCATTACGCCAGCAGAGAGAACTGGGCTGGGAGTCAGGAGACCTGAGTTCTAGTCCTCTGACTACCTGGATGTATTTCCCCAATTGTGAAATGGGGATGATGATGTTTACCCTGCCTGTATCATACAATTCTAATAAACACCCCCCCCCCCAACCCCGCTTCTTTCTTTCCTTTTTTTCACCCTCTCACTCGCTCATTCATTCCACATAAAGGGAAATGTTAGAAGGTTGAGGAAGCAGGTAGAAGCTTGGACTCCTTAAGACTGGGGGTAGAAGACAGGCATGGTGGGTGGGCCCTTCTACTAGTATCCCCTCCTAGCCCCTCAGAGGTGGCTGTGCCTCTGAGGAGAAGCTTGGACACAGGGAGAGGAAAAATAACTGAACCCTAAGAGCCAGGCCTTGTGACCCTCAGTGAAGAAGCCCCGCCCATTCTTGGCCTAGACACCAAGGCCTATAGCAGACCAGTGGCCTTGGGCCAGGAGCATCTCAGAGGCCCTTCTCCTGTGTTCTGGGCCCATATAATTTCTACCCACCCCACCACCCCTTCAGACTGGGTTTGAATGCTAGGTAGGAAAAGAAGACATCATCCAAGCAAGATCTGAGAAGAATTCCTGCTGCCAGGGGATTCTACTCTGCCCTATAGGGTTGCTAGGAGTCAGAATCGACTGGATGGCAACGGGTTTTTTTTAGGGTGGCCCGAGCCAGCTTGAGGTAGTTTAGAACAAATAATACAAATGCTGCAGCTGCTGCACCTGCTGGTCTCCAAGTTCTGGCCGGTGCCAAGCGTAGACTGTCAGCAGTAGCTGGCTAGAGAACGTCCATTGTGACCAAGCGTTCCGGATGTTATCTCCAGCACTGCTACACAAGGTTTTGTTATAAATAGAAAAATTTGAAAAACCGCCCTGCTTTAGAATGGGGAATTTGGGCCACAGAGAAGAGAAAGGACTTACCTGGTGGAGGGGGGGGAGGCTAGAGCCCCACACCTAGGTCTCCACTCCCACAGCTGCTTCCAGCACTTGCTCCCTCCCCACCCCACTCCTCCCACCCCCTGCCCCACCACACCAATCAGAGATGGCTTCCTGGAGGGAGGAGAACTGAATACTTTAGCCCTTCCCCTCCTTCAGCTTCTACTCCCATGTATGCCAACAATAGCCAGCCCTCTCCCCTGAGGGAGCCCAGAATGATGTAGAAGCCTCACAAGCCATACCCTGTGTTGTCTTTCCCTCCCCATCCTCTCCTCCCCCTTTTTCTGATACCAGTACTCCAATTTTCCTTTGGGGAAACACCCCTCCCCTACTCTCGGTCCATGGATTGGGTGAGGTTGACTGGCTAGGGTCACTGGGATAGACGTGCTCTCCTTCCATGGGGCTGTCAAGCTGAAGAGATCCAAGAGTGGCCATCTTTGCCACCATGAGCTGGAGTCTGCCTGAGAATGAAGGGCAGAGCGGGAAGCAGGGCCCAGAGAGCATGAAAGATGGCTGAGGACTCTGCTTGAGCCCCTAGGTCAGCCATGCTTGATGCCAACCCCCTCTCCCCGCTTTTTCAGTCACTTTAGTTATTCATTGAGCAATATCCCTTTTGCTCATAAGCTGGTTTACATTGGGTTTTCTGTCACTTATAACATGACATACTGGTGCCCCAGCTGTCTTGAGAAAATTACACCTGGATTTAGAAAGAACGGGCTCAAAGAATCAGGTCCAGGACTCACTGATGAGATCGAGGAAGGACAGGCTGATGAAGAGGTTGGCGGCCCAGTTGAAGCTGTTGCAGAAGGCGAAGGCTCTCCCTCGGATCTCCACGGGGTAGATCTCGCTGAGGACAAGCCAGGTCACTGGGAGAGGAGAACAGGGTAAGGCGGGGAACCAGGACCTGGCATCAACTGGCCGGGGCCAGACATGTTTGTGAAGCAAGCAGCCTCCTAACAAAGTGAACGGAGCGAATTGCAGGCTCCTGACCCCAGATTCTCCCCAGCTACTTGCCCCATCCATCTGTAGGAAACCCTTTAAGATGACCAACTATCCCGGGTTGTCCAGGACTGAGGGGTTTCCCAGGGCACAAGACTTTCAGTGCCCAAACCAGGGCAGTCCTGGGCAAACCCTATTCATTCACACTCCTTTCCAGTAAACCCTTTTTAGTGAGCCATCCAGGGGGAAATCCAGGTTTTATGAGGTCTGAAGCTGAAATAATCGGGGGGCCGTTTTTAAGAAACAAAATGACAAACATCCAATTAGGCACGGGCCCTTGGAAGGAGCCCGTGCACGTGAGGCGCCTTGAAGCGGAAGCGTCATTGGCTTTATGGTAAAGCCACCTTTGGGGCCCATTCTGAGATGATACAGTCCCCAAGCTTCCCGCTAGGAGGGGTAGGAGGCTCCAGAGTTACCTGCAAGAAAACTCCCGCTTACCTGGTCCAAATCCAAAGGAGAAGGCGCTCACAAAGACCATCAAGCAGGCCAGTGTGGTCCAGTGCAGCAGTGCGTGCCCTGGGGCAGGAGAAGGGGATACGGGCGAGGCTGCGCTCGGAGTCAGCAAGGGAGCGGCCATAGGGTCTCCGGCTCTAGGAGGGGGCCTTGTTTTCTTAAAAGTTGACAAGACTGGTTCCCTTTGGTTCTTGTGGGTTCTTGGCAGTGGAGGTGGAGAGGAAGCCACTGACAGGCTGGAGTCCCCAAGGAGGCCAGGCAGTCTGGTGGCATTGGGCATGGCCAGGCAGCTTGGGCCGGAGTCCATGGGCATGGCAAAGCTGACGAGGCCTATGCCGCTGACCGACAGGGCCATGAGGGCACAGCCGGCTAGCAACAGGGCCCTGCGGCCTGCCCGGTCCACCAGCCCCATGGCGGTCAGGGTTGCCACCACCTTCACCACACCGAGCCCAACAGAGGCCAGCACTGCCGAGGATCCCCCATGGAAGCCCACTGAGTGGAAGATGGTGGAGGCATAGCACAGCACGTTGGGCTGCCCTGTTAGCTGCTGGAAAAGCACTAGCCCCAGCCCCACCATGGTCCGGCCTCGCATGTTGTCCCGTGCCCTGAAGAGGTCCAGAAAGGAGTACCTTGGCCTACCCAGGCCCAGCTTGGTGACCTCACCTCCCTGGAGTGGAATGAGATCCTTATGGGCTGCAGCCTCAGCCGCACCCGCAGGGAGGAAGAGAAGGCTGAGGGACTGTAGGAAAGCGGGCGCAGCAGCCCAGCCAAACATATGCCTCCATCCCCGGGGGACACTGGCCAGTGCGTAGTTGGTCGCGTAGGACAGCAGGATGCCCACAGTGATGCCTGCCTCATAGAGGGACACCAGCACTCCCCGCTGCCTTGGTCCCACCAGCTCTGACACATAGATACAGCAGGCCATGGAGGAGAGAGAGATGGCAAAGCCAGCCACTGAGCGGCCCAGGACCAGCCAGGCCAGGGAGCCAGCCAGGCCCAGGCTCAGGCTGCCTACCAACAGCACCACGTTGCTCCCGAGGATGGCTTGTTTCCTGCCATAGCAGTCGATGAGGAAGCCCCCCACCAGGGAAGCCAGGAGGGCCCCCAGGAGCAGACTGCCAACTAGCAGCTCCTGCTCCAAGCAGCTTAGCCCAAAGTCAAGCTGCAGGGGCAGCAGGGCGCCCGATATAACAGCCAGTTCATAACCAAAGGTCAGGCCACCTAGCAAAGACACAGAGGCACACAGGGGCAGGATAGGTGGGAGGTGGCCTGGAAAACAAAAGCAACAAGGGCAGAGTTCAGAATGATCCTTCACCAGAGTATTCATCCATCTAATCTCCCCTCCCTTCAAACTCTTTATCCATCCATCCATCCATCCATCTTACACATATATACAGCAGGCCACAGAGGAGAGAGATATGGGAAAGCCAGCAACTGAGCAGTCCAGGACCAGCCAGGCCAGAGAGCCCCCATCCCTCTGTCCACTGACCCTTCTCTCCATCCATCTACTCCATCCATCCATCTGTCCATCCATCTATTTATTGACCCATCTATCCATCCACCCAACCTCCCATCCATCTATCCATTCATCCACCCTCTATCCATCCAACCACTCCTTCTTTCATCCATCCATCCACTCCATTCATAATACATTTATTGACCATCCCTCCATCCATCCACCTACTCCTTTCATCCATATATTAATCCATCTACCTACCTGTCCATTCGTCCATCCTTTCATTAACCCAACCATTCATCCATTTATTGATCCATCTATTCACAAATCCATCCATTCATCCATCCATTTTTATACCCGTCCACCTGTCCATCCATCCATGCAATCATCCATCCACTCAAACTTTCCAAAACTGTATTTATCTACTATCTACAACATGCTAGGCATTGTTCTTGGGGCTGGCAATACAGTAGTGGTGTCAAGGATCTCGCATTCTAATGGGAATAGGCATATAAACAAATAAATATAGAACATACTTTGAAGTGGTGATATGTGTCATAAAAAATATAAAGCAAGGAAAAGAGATTGAGAGTGACAGAGAAGTAGTACTATTTTAAATACAGTAGTCAGCTAAGGCTTCTCTGAAGGAGGGACACTTGAGCAGAGATCTGAATGAAATGAGAACAAAAGCCATGGGAAAATCTGGGTAAAGAACATTCTAGACAGAGGGAACAGTAAGTGCAAAGGCCCTGAGACAGAACAGTTCGTGGTATGTTTGGACAATAACTAATAATATTAACAGTTAGCGCTTATATAGCACTTACTAAGTACCAGGCCCCATTTTAAGAGCTTTACATTTAATTCTTATAACATTTAATGCCACTGTGTGGCATATTATGGTTATCATCATCCAAGGCACAGTGAGGTTACGCAGCAAGTAAGTAACAGAGGTGATGTGGCTAGAGAGTGTAGGCTCTTAACCACCATGCTCTCTAGCAAGGAGGCCAGAGTGGCTGGAGCCCAGTGAGTGCGGGTGGGAGTGACAGGACACCGTGAGATAGGAGAAGCAGTCAGGGGCCAGATCACGTCGGGCTTTGGAGGCCATGAGGAAAAGGCTGATTTCATTCTCAGTGGATGACAGCCTCTGAAGATTTGAGCTGAGAAGTGAGGTGATCTATTTTTAATTTTTAAAGGATCGCTCTGGCTTCTGTACAGAGATGCTTAGTGAGGTGGTGTGGCTCACTCAGTGTCTACTTACCTCTTCTTCGTTAGTATCAGAACTATATTTGGCTAAAAGACTACATTCCCCAGCCTTTCCTCTAACTATAGGTGGCTAATAAAATATAAAGGAGTTGTTGGGTGAGACTTCTAGAAAAGCTCTTTAAAGGAATGAGGGCAGACAGCTGGCTAGCATCCTTTAGCCCTTTCTCCCCATACCCCATCTTATTGACTCGAATGCAGATGTAATGGCTGGAGCACATCAGTCATCTTAGGCCATGCGAGTCACCATGAGAATGCGAGGTACACAATGACATAGTAGAGCAGAAATACAGAAGGTGCCTGGGCACCTGGATTATCGATCTCCAGGCTTTTTTTATGTTATAGGGAAAAAAAATCAACAACGTCTAACTTAGTTACACTATACTACTTCTAGTCTGTATTGGTAGCAGCCAAGCCCAATTCTTAACTGATATAGGTAAGGAGCAAGAGGGAACCCAGGTTAGGAGGCCAGAGCAAGAGTCTACATGAGAGTGATAGCGACTTAGACTGAAGAGGAAATACCATATGGCAGGGATCTGCCAGTTAACAAATGAATTAAGTGGGCTGTGTATAAGACAACAAGGAGTGGTGGGGACTGTGGCAAACTGGAGAGTGCATGCCTCATCTAAAGCTGTAACACAGCTCCAATTATTACTGTTGTTGTTAGGTGCCGTCAAGTCAATTCTGACTCATGGCGACGCATGTATGCAGAGTAGAACTGCTCCGTAGGGTTTTCAAGGTTGTGACCTTTTGGATGCAGATTGCCAGACCTGCCTTCTGAGGTGCCTCTGGGTGGATTCAAGCTGCCAACCTTTTGGTGAGTAGTCAAGTGCTTAACTGTTTGCGCCATCCAGAGACTCCCCAGTTATTGTTACCACCCTAGGATGTACAGTCTCTGGCACACTGTAAGAAGAGTGGCTGCCATTTCCTGAATGGTCCCTCTGGCACAAATTAACTGTCCAAGATAATGAAATGGTTGTTATTGGAGGCCACTAAGTCTTGGGATGTTTTGTTACACAGCAATAGATAATGAAACATAAGCCTCTCTTTGCCCATCTACAAAATGAGGAAATTGTAGCAGATGAGGGTCTTCCAAAAGGTTCATGATATATTGATAAAAGATCTGTTTCAACTTCTATTTTTAAAATATCAGTAGATACAGTAACCATTCAAAGAACTTTTTCCTTCAAGGAGCAATGCTTAGAGAACCTCAGCATGCATAATGAGCAGTGTAAGGGGCATTTAGGGAAGCTGAAGAGCATGTCCATGACCCAGCCATGACCCAGTTCCCTCATGACTTAGGGAACACTACGCTGCACAATGATTCTGAATTCTGTGCCGTCTTCAATTGGGTGCTCTTAGTCCTAGATTAATTTAATTTATGTTCAAATGGACCATTGGCAATAGATGAAAAATGAAAAGGACAAATAAATGAGCTCAAAAATAAGAATAATTCTGTAAAATTCCCCCAAAGCCCAAAACAACAGGTGCTTCATGATTCCCATTTTATGGATGAACAAACTAATGAAAAAGGTAGAAAATTCTGGGCTGAATGTGAGAAGTTTTTATTTTGTTTTGTTAGATTTTTTTCTTGTCATTGGCTTCTTTCTCCCTCCCAGCCCTGATCATGCCAGTTATTAAAGATATTCTTAAGCTTCCCTGTTATGTTTGTGCACATCTCATCTCACTCTGCCATCCTACTCAGCTGCGCTTGAACTAAGTTACTTCTGGTCTCTCAGTCTTAGTTTCCTTGTCAGTAGAATGGGGATAATAATACTCACTCTGACTGCTTTCAAAGCTGATAGGAAAATGAAATTAAACAATGAATATGAAAGTGATAAATGTGACTCCGAGGTGTTACATCTGCTGTTGTTGACAGCTTAGTGCAGTGGAAAGCAAGAAGGACTTAGAATATAAAGACTTAAGGTCTAGTCTCAGCACTGCCACTTACTCTGTGTGACCTTGGACAAGTCACTGCCTCTCCTTGAGCTCCAGTTTGCTCATCTATAAAGTGGGGTTAATCAATCCTTTCTCACTGGGTTCTTGGAAGAGTTCAATAGGGAAAGGCTACTGGCACACAGGAGGTGTATTCAAAGAGGATAACCCTTAGCCGTCGAGTCGATTCTCACTCACAGAGACCCAATAGGACAGAGTAGAACTGCCCCGTAGAGTTTCCAAGGAGTGCCTGGTAGATTAGAACTGTCAACATTTTGGTTTACAGCCAAGTTCTTAACCACTACGCCACCAGGGTTTCCACAAAGAGAACGATCATTATTATTACTATCTTATCCTTCTGCCCATTTCTAGAATTAAGAAAACACAAGCTTGGTGTGGTCCCCTGCTTCCCTTCAAAATTTATCTCTGTAACAGCTAGTGCTAAAGTATAAGAAGAAGATGCTGACCTCATTAGCTCTTTCCCGTAGATTTGGGGTAAAGAGGATGGGCCAATGAGCAAGGCTGGCCTGCTCTTCCTAGCATTTCAGACAAGCTTTTTTTTTTTTTTAAACCATGTGCTTTTCATTTAGAGAAGTCAAAAACAGCAATAACAACAAACAAACAAAACTATACACCTAGAAATTTAAAACACACATCTAAACTACTTGGCATAAAGAGGAAATAACCAACTATTTGGAACCGAATGAGAATAAATGCTTCATAGAACAAAGCCTGTGAGATGTGGGTAAGGAGGTACTCAGGTGAAAATTATAGCTTTTTATCAGAAACCAAGAAAGCCTGAAAATAGATTAATTAAGCCTTCAACTGAAGAAGCTAGGAAAATTACAACAAGTAAGTGGAATTACAGAATATAAAAGCAGAAGTTAATGAAATGGAAAAAAAGAAAACCAGGATAGTTCATCCCTAAAATTCAAGCTGGTTCTTTGTCATGAATAATAGAATAGATAAAGCTTTAGCAAGTATGATCAAAGAACAAAGAGATAAATACAAATAAACAACATTAGGAATTACAAAAGGGTCATAAGTACAGATACAGGCGAAACAGAAAGACCAAGTCATCTTCACTAGCTTGTTGAGGTGAAAATATCGATTGTAGTTATTACAGATTCTAGACAAGACTGAAGGAGTTAAATTTAGCCCTTCTCAGCTCCCATTATCTCCCTCTCCTGCTTCCACTCACTTAACCCATAAACAAAAAAAAACATACCCGTTGCCGTCAAGTAGATTCCAACTCATAGCAACCCTATAAGACAGGGTAGAACTGCCCCACAGAGTTTCCAAGGAGCTCCTGGTGAATTTGAACTGCTGACCTTCTGGTTAGCAGCCGAGCTCTTAACCACTGCACCACCAGGGCTCCCACTCACCACACAGGTATCCACATTTAGGTGTGCATTGAGCTCCCACTGCTTTTGGAGTCTCTACATTTTCAGACCAGCTTAACCCAACAAGCTAGATCTGTAATAGTTTGTTATGTGAGTCTCTTGTAAAAGTAGTATACAGCTGGATGCTTTTAAGTGCAATCTGAGAGTCCCTGTCTTTAAAAAGCTGAACTTAACTCATTTACATTTATTATAATTACCGATCTGCTTGAACTTGCTTTTGCCATTTAATTTTGTGTCTATTATTTACTCTGTAGATATTTCTTTTCCTCCTAATTTCCTGCTTTTGATGGATCAGTTAAGTTTTCCTTTTGTTCCATTTTTTTCTTCTGCTGATTTAAGCGTTATACATTCTACTTGCTTTCTATCTTGGAACTGTCCAATATTGTGGTCACTAGCCACATGTGAATACTGAGCACTTGAAATGTGGCTAATGTGACTGAGAAACTGAAATTTTAATTTTAGGTAATTTAAATTTAACTATAAATAGCCATGTGTGGTTAGTGGCTACCATATTGGACAGCACAGTTCTACTGGTTACTCTTAACTTTTTTTTTTTAATTGTACTTTAGATGAAGGTTTACAGAACAAATAGTTTCTCATTAAGCAGTTAGTACACATATTGTTTCATGACAATGGTTAACAACCCCACGACATGTCAACACTGTCCCTTCTCAACCTCGGGTTCCCTATTACCAGCTTTCCTGTCCCCTCCTGCCTTATAGTCCTTGTCCCTGGACTGTTGTGCCCCATTAGTCTCGTTTTGTTTTATGGGGCTGTCTAATCTTTGGCTGAACGGTGAACCTCGGGAGTGACTTCATTACTGAGCTAAAAGGGTGTCTGAGGGCCATACTCTGGGAATTTCTCCAGTCTCCGTCAGGCCAGTAAATCTGGTCTTTTTTTGTGTTACTCTTAATTTTTAACGCACATATCCAAACTTATATATTTCTGACAACATCTAGAGTAATCCGGCAGTATCTATCTTGCCCACTCCCACCCTGGACCTGACAACACTCATAATACTACAGCCAGATTGACGGAATGTTTTCTCTGGACCAGGCACTGCTCTGAGCACTTTAAATGTAATAAATATTTAATCCTCACCACAACCCTATGAGATAGACTTTAGCATTATTTGGTAATGAATAAGGAGCTCTAGTGGCACAGTGGTTAAGTGCTCAGCTGCTAACCGAAAGGTCAGCAGTTCGAACCCACCAGCTGGTCATTGAGAGAAAGATGTGGCAGTCTGTTCCCGTAAAGATTATAGCCTAGGAAATCCTATGGGCCAGTTTTACTCTGTTCTATAGAGTTGCTATGAGTCGGAATCGCCTCGATGGCAATGGAAGGAATGAAACCAATAATCAGAGAGGTGAAATGACTTGCCTAAGGTCATACAGCTAATAAATGGCTGGGCCCAGATTCAAAGCCAGGCAGTTGGTGCCAAAATCCATGCTCTTCACCACTCCATTATAAAATTCTAGCATAACATGATTTCGCTCTGTTCTTGATTACTTCTGCTTCTCCCCATCTCTAATGTTAGGCAACTTTTGTGCAGGGGAAGAGTTTCATGGGCAGAAGAACACCCCTCCCCTGGTTCTGTTCAATACACCCCTTCCAAAATCACCCGCTACCATTCCCTGGCTGGCCATGTCCTTCCTGTCTCTGACCACCAATAAATACCCTGGAAGGACTATGCCCAGGTCCTGCTCTGTCTTTTACCACCCTTTGCCTCATCTCCCTCCCTGGGCTTCTGTAGCCTACTCTCAGACAGGAAAGTTCCCCCAGGTCACATGAGGCAACTGAAGTGAAGACACAGAATTTGTCTGCCATTCCTGGGCTCCTCTTGAGGTGAAAAGGTACCCAGCCAAAGCGCTCAGAGGCAAAGTTGACTGTTTACAGGTTCCACTGGAAAATGTACCAGAGCAGACCACAGTCATGGCGGCAAGAGGAGATCAGCAAAAAGAAAAGTGAAATAAAGTAGTAATAAGAACAGATATCACTTACGGAGCACTTCCTCTGCACAAAGACTTTATGTGCCTTTTCTCATTTCATCCTCATAACCACCCTAGGTGGCAATGCTAGGTAGGTAAATAACCCCTAGCTGTTAATGCTAACTGATAATGTAAAATTATTCCTATTTTACAGATGGGGAAACCAAGGCTGAGAGCATTCTCACAGCTATGAAGCAATAGGATCAGGACTCAGATACTGACCTCACTCCCAAACCTATCTAGTAAAGAGCCTGCCTCCCTTGGCCTTCACCCTCCCATTACACACACAATGCAGCTGGGACGATGCAGCTGGGAAGCGGGAGAAATGGGGCTCGAACCCAGGTCTTTTTGACACTGAAGTCTATATACAGAGCCTGATTTCTGGACACTGCTTCGAAGAAACCAGCCTAGGAACTACGGGGAGGACAAGGACTCCATGGCAGTTAATTTGAACCTCTCCTTCCACCACCTCCCAGCCCCAGCTCTGCCCACCCTAGACGCTCAGTAAATAGCTGTTTAATTACCTTATGGGGCAGCAGAGGGATGGGAGGAGCAGAAACAAAGTGCCAAGTCCTTCTTCTCTGCAACATAGTTTCTCTCAGGCTGGGGGCAGTGTGTCATGACTGTTAAGGGCATGAACTCTGCAATCAGGCCTGGAATTGGTTTTCACTAGTGCCATTACCCTGTTCCTTGGTCACAGCGTGACAGGCTGGGTGGTGCAGTGGTTAGGAACACAGACTGGGGCCAGAGTGCTGGGGTTCTATCCCAGCCTCTCCTCTCCATAGCTGTGTGACCTCGGGCAAGTCACTTAACCTCTCTGAGCCTGTTCATCTATAAATGGGGATAATAATAATAAAAACAAAAAACCTGTTGCAGTCAAGTCAATTCTGACTCACAGTGACCCTGTAAGACAGAACAGAACTGCCCCCACAGTGTTTCCAAGGTGTAATCTTTATGGAAGCAGACTGCCACATCTTTCTCCTGCGGAGCAGCTGGTGGATTTGAAGCACCCACCTTTCTGTTAGCAGCCAAGCCCTTAACCACTGTGCCACCAGGGCTCCTATAATAATAATACCTACCTCATATGCCTGCACTGGCAAGTGTTAGCTATTATGATTCTCCATAGAACAGCCCTGCGTGGCCTTTTAAAGCACAAATCAGGTCATGCCCCATCCTGGCTTTTAACCATCCTCCAGGATCCCATGTCATGTGGAATAAAATCCAAACTTGTCACCATGGCATACAAAGCCTTGCACAGTCTGGTCCTGTCCACCCCTGACGGATCTTCTGACCCCACTCGCCTTGCCCACTGAGCTGCAGCCACACTGGCCTGGACCACCGCACCTCATTCCTGCCTCAGGGCCTTTGCACTTGCTGTTCCCTCCACCTGGAAGCTCCTTCCCCAGATTTTTTCAAGGCTGGCTTCTTTCCATAAGTAAGTTCTCAGCTCCAGTGTGTCCAACTCCGGGAGGGCCACCTAGTAAAGATCCCGCCTCACTCAGCCTTCACCCTCCATCCCACCACCTCACTGTATGTGCACTCAGCACCTACCACTCTCTGATTCATGTTCCTATTCATTTACTTGTTTACCCAGTGCCCCAGCTGGAATGTCAGCTCCACAAGAGTGACGGTTTTGTCTATTCACTGCTGAATCTCCAATCCCTAAGCCAATATCTGGCACATAGTGGGTGCTCAATAAAAGAATGAATGAATGACCCTTTGAGGCTTCTGACCTTTTAGTCCGCTATAGTAACAAATTCCCTACCTCCTTTTCCCCAATTCTGCACTAGAATCCCCTCCGGTCTCCCCCCATTGAATCACCCGAGGGCAGGGGTTTGGTCTGTTTTGCTCCCTGCGGCATCCTCATCCTCAGGCCTAGAACGGTGCCCGGCGCACAGTGCTGACCAGCAAGTGAACTGATTAATGAATCTGCTTTAATGCAGCCTTTCGGAGCCTCCCTTTCCTCATCTGTAAAACAGGAACAGTTTCGCTTGCCTTGAGGGCTGTAGTAACGATGAAAGTGTTCAGGAGACTGCCTGGTGCGGAGAAGAGCTCAGGATCAAGTAGGGAGCCCTCTCGTCCCTTTTCCCGGGGCAGACCGGAGGACGGATGGCAGCGCGCCCCCAGCTACAGGCCTGCCGGCCAGGGCTCACCACCCAGGAGGCGGAGGGCGTGCGCATTAACGGGGGACGCAGAGGCAGTGTGCATACCCTCAGAGGTGGCGGGCTCCCCGCGGACAGCGCCCCATCGGGACTTACCCATGGCGAGCAGAACTCTGAGGCTCGCTGGGGGCGCTCGGGGCCGGGCGCGCATCCCCCGGGGCAGTCCCCGCGGCGGCCGCCGGACAAACTTTCCGGCCCGCCTCCTGCCTCGGTCCCTCCCTCCTGGCCCGCTCGCAGCGCGCCGCCGCCACGTCGGCCAGTGTGCCTGGAGGCGGGACCGAGGGGCCACGCGTCCGCCCCGGCCCGGCCGAGCCTGGAAGGGCCCGCCACCCGGAGTTCGTCGCGGGCCTCCACGGCCGGGCTGCGGGCAGAAGGAGATTCCCCCATCACTGTGGCCCACACTTGTTTGTGCTCCCCAGCGTGTACACATACACTCTCACACACACACCACTCGCACACTCACTCTCTCTCTCATAGGTCTACACACAAGGGGACACTCACACACCCACTTCAGCCACTCAGAGACTCACTCTCCGACAGATTCCTCCATCCATCTATTCAACACTTAGCTATTGGACACTTACTCTGGGCCAGGCACTGAGCTAGGCTTTGGGGACCGACTGAAGAACAAGACCGACAGGTTTTCTATTCTTGTGGAGTTTACTTTCTAGTAGGGAAAGTCAAGACGAAAAATAACTAAACAAAGGAGCTAGGCAGAGAATTAGACTAGATGATCGGCTGGGCGGGCACCAGGCGACGCTGTAGCTTGTGGTCTGAGAAGGCCCCTCTGAGGAGCTGAGACCCCAGGGACAAGAAAGTGGCAGCCAAGTCTGGGAGCAGAGCATTCCAGGGAAGGGAACAGCAAAGGCAGATGCCCTGAGGTGAGAACAAACTTTGTTATTGTTGAGTGCCAGGAAGTTGATTTCCACTCAAGAGTGACCCTATGTGACAGAGTATAACTGACCCATGGAGTTTTCTAGGCTATAATCTTCATGGGAGCAGATTGGCAGATCTTTTCTCCCATGGAGCCCCTGGATGGGTTTGAAACACCAACCAACCTTTCAGTTAGCAGCCGAGCTCTTAACCCTTGCTCCACCAGAGCTCCTTTGGAACCAACTTGGGAGGCATGAAGAACTGAAGCCAGAGTATCTGGAGCAAGGGGTCAGCACGGAAAACAGAGGGAGATGAGGACCAGGAGCTGGCAGAGATCTTTACTAAAAATAGCAATAGGTGGCACATTAAAGAACACCACGTGTTAAAAGTAACACAAACTTGGAGCAAGACTCAAGGAAATAAAAACCTATTTCCATTTTGGTAGCTTTCTAAATAAACTTTCATTGATTTCTTCATTTTCCTTCTTGTTTTTAAGCTTTATTGAAGTATAACTGACATACAATAAGCCGCATCCATTTAAAGTATACAATTTGACAAATTTTGACATATGTATACACCCATGAAACCACCATCACAATCAAGAGAAGTTACATATCCATTAACTCCAATGTGTTATATATCTTAATTATTTATATGTTTATTGTGTCTTCCTCACTAAAACAAAGCTCTATGATTGGGGAAAAAATTTTTTAATCTCTTTCATTCACTTTTGTATCCCCTTCAGGATACACATCTAGAACTAGTAGGTGCTCAATAATAATTGTTGAAGAATTTTACATTCCTCTCATTCACACAAGCAGCCAGCTTATCAGATTTCCTGGATTTTGTTCCCCAAGGTCTAACCTTCAAAAGAACTTAGATTGGGGGCTGCAAATTCATATGCGTAGTGGGGCCACACAGATGTTATAAATGAAAGAATTGGGCTGGGTATAGGCAACATGGAGTGGTGAGGACTGTAGCAAACTGAAGGCTGTATTTTCTGAGCAAGAGCTGGTAAACTACAGGCTACTGCCTGTTTTTGTAAATAAAGTTTCACTGGAAAGTAGCCATACCTATCATTTACATATTCTTCTTGTGCTCTCTCTAGCTTCTTTTGGAGACTCAACTCCCCCCTCGCTAGCCAGTCTTTTACTTCTCAAATCATCTCATTTTGTTATTCAGAGCCTCTTGGATCTCCACTCCACTCAAAGTATCCTTTGCTTTTCTAATGACATTAAGGTACCGTGATAAACAAAAAGCCATCTGCTTCACTCCTCCACCCTTTGGCAGTATGATAGAGACAATGTTTGAAATTAAAGTTGTATTTTCTTTATCATGAGCACACTCTTAGGCAAGGTTACCACTCCTCTCCAGGTTGTTACAATGGTGTGTAAAAACAGACAAGCTTCTGGCCTTTATGGAGCTGATAGCTAGTAGGGGAGACAGACATCTATCAAATAGTCACACAAAGAAACAAACAAAAAGAGGAATCAGCAACAGTGCTAAAAAGGAGAGGGTCACAGGGACAACAGCATTTATAAAAGTTGGATTTTCCCTCTGAGAAGTCAGGGAGGGCTTCCCTGAGGAAATGACACTTGAGCTAAGGATGGAAGAAAATGTAGATGTTAACTGGGCAACAGAGGGAGGGAAGAGCATTTCTGGCATGAGAAGTAGTAGGTGCAAAGTCCCTGTGGCAAGAGGGAACATGGCAAGAATGAGACAGAGAAGGCAAATGTGTCTGAAGAACAGAAAGCAAGGGGGTGCTTAGTGAGAGATGAGGCTGGAAGAAGGCCCAGGGGTCCCATGCTGAGCTTCATGGGCCGAATTTAGGATTGGGTCTTTTTCCTAAGCACACAGGGAGCCACTGAAGGGTTTTAAATTGGATTTCATACCATAGAAGTCAAAACCGGTCTGACCATGGCAAACCTTGGACTTGTAAATATGTTGGCACAGTGGATTTTCCAAAGCAGGAGACCAGATGGATTTGGTAACCACAGAAATGGCTATGGGACACTAACGATTATGATAATGAAGCCACAAACATGAGAACTGGGCGTTATAAATAGAATTTATTCTGGGCCAGCTTTGAGTAGCCTGGGCGGATAAAAGGTGCTGGAAACGATACTATGCCAACACAAAGGGTCTGATGTTTGAAAAGGCGGCCTGTGTGTGTATGAATGAAACCCAGGGACTGCAGAAATGAGAGCCTTGGAGTCATAGCAACCCTTGGACCAAAGGGCCTTTCTTAGGTATTTCAAACAGGACCCAATCGCGGGGGAAAGGAAAATAAACATATGAAGAGTGTCTACTAGCTACCAGGCACCCTCACAAGCAACATCTTATTTAATCTTAAGAAGCAGTCAGCAAAGTAGAACGAACTATCCCCATTCTGAAGATGATGCAGCTGAAATTCAGAGAAATGATGTTCACTGCTCAGTGACACCATGTAACGGACACTGTGGCCGCCTCCTGAGTAGCCCAGCTCCCTTCCTCCTTGCTTGTAGAGCATGTCTCCATCTATAGAGGATGAAAATGCCAGATCCTCACTCTTCCCACTTCCTCTGTGGCTAAGGCAAAGACACATGATCCAACCATGGCCAATGTCCTGGAGGGCAAGTCTGATGGGGAAAGGAGAAACTTCTAGGAAAGTGTTTTCTCCCAAGTAGAGAGCTGTACTAGCGGTAGCACCTCAGTTCTTTAGCCAGATGTTTTCATGTCTTCATATGATTGGTGGAACTTTGGCAGCCATTTTGTGACCAGAAGGTGACAAGTGTAAGGACCAAAACAACATACACAGATTGGTATGGCAAAAAGATAGAAAGGTCGTGGGGCCTGGATATCACAAATCAACTGAATGAAACCCAGAACTCTCTACCTCTGGAGGGTCTGTTCTGTGAGATAATAAATGACCTTGTTGTTTAAGCTCTTTTAGTGGTCAGTCTGTTACTTGCAGCTTAAAACGTCAAAACTGTGGCAGAGTCTATTAATGGTTTCCCAATATTCCTCCACTACTTCCTTTTAGGAATAATCCTGCTAAAATGCTAGCTAAGTCTACGGCTGTCCTGCTAGAAAATGATTCCCAGCTCCCTTTGCAGCTTTCTGGGTCATGTGACTAAGTTCTGACCAATAGGATGTGAGTGGAAGTGATGTGTATAACTTTGGGACAAGTCCTTAGCTGCTTGTTCCCTGCATCCTCCTCCTGCCTCCCTGCTTCTTGCTGACTAGAGATGGTGAAAATGGAATAGCTGCCTTGCCTCAGATAAGGAAGCTACAGGATGAGAATGACAGAATTGGCTTGCAAGCCTTGAACCACCTGTTACATGAGTGAGAAATGAACATCTCTCGTATTTATGCCACTATTTTTGGGTTTGGAGTCCCTGGGTGGTGCAAACGATTGAAGTGCTCAGCTACTAACTGAAAGGTTGGTGGTTTGAGCCAACCCAGAAGCACCTTGGAAGAAAGCCCTGGTGATCTCCTTCTGAAAGATCACACATTAACCTGTTGCCCTGCGTTGATTCTGACTCACACAGAACTGCCCCAGAGAGCTTCCTGGGCTGTAACCTTCATGGAAGCAGACTGCCGCATCTCTCTGGTGGGGCGGCTTGTGGGTTCAAACTGCATATCTTTCAGTTAGCAGCCGAGCACTTAACCACTGTGACACAAGGACTCCTTTGAAAGATCATGGCCATTGAAAACCCTGTGAAGCACGGTTGTACTCTGAAACACGTGCGGTTGGTGGCTATTTTTAGGTTACTTTGTTATAGTAGCTTATCCTGTATCCTAACTAACTAATACAGTAATCAAAATACAAAGCCATTCTGTGGTGGAACAAGTCAGGGCTCTTGTTGCAAGCCTCTGAAACTGCCTTGCTCCTGTGTCTGAGCGTTGATTGCCAAGAGATGGGGAAAAGGAGGGGCTTCTATAGCAGAAGGTGGTCCCTGTGTTCCCCCAGGACACCACAAAATGCGGGAAGACCCCTACCTCCTTACATAGAAATGGCTGTTGGATGTGGGGAATCTTACTGTATTAGGCACTCCATAAATGACAACAGCTTTCATTGATGAAGTGCTTATCATGTGTCTGGCATTGTTCATATGTTTTACCTCTAGTTATTCATTCAATCGTCCCCAAAACCCTACCAGGTGGATATCATCCATAATCTTTAGTAGTGAAGAAACTAAAGTATAGAGAGCTTAAATAACTTGCTCTTCCTCAAACATACCAAGCAGACTTCTGCCCTGGGGCCTTTGCACTTGCTGTTCCCTCGGCCTGGAATGCTCTTTCTCAGGGAATCCAGTCACATGGCTCCAACTTCACCTTTTCATTGAAGCTGTAAAATGGCATGGGGGCGGCGTCTGACCTCCTCTCTCTTCACAAGGGGGAAGGAGAATCAAGATCAACAGCCCAAGGCTGATTCCTATGAGGCAGAGGTCGGACATGCCTCCTCTCTCTGCCATCTTTACCAATTCTGACACCAACCACGCCTCCCACGGCACTCTCTACTTCTCCACTGGGTTCAATAATTCATTGCAACGGCCACACAGAACTCACAGATAATACTCACAATTATGGGGTTTATTAAGGAAACAACAGTTACAATTCAGGCTCAGGAACACTCAGGATACAGTTCTTCCATCAGGATAGCCTCTTCCCAGCCGTGCTCACAGGCATACCTCTCTTTGGCCCTCAGCCTCTGCCCTGCTCAGGCAAGCGTTACAATAAGTCCCCAGAGGTACCCCAGGCACTCAGCTTTCTCGCTTGGTGGGCCAGGAAGCCCACTGCGAGGTCTCCTGCTGGTCTTTCCGCCACCGCTTCTCGCCATCTTCAAGTTTACAGGGTTCTCTGTCTGTCTCCTGGTTCCAGGAGGTTCTCAGCGCAGGAATCCCGGGTCCAAAGGATGCGCTCTCCGCTCCTGGCTGTTCTTCCTTGGTGGTGGTGGGATCCTCTCTTTCACGCTTCTGGGGTGGCTCATTTCAATCCCTTTCGTGGGCCAAAATTACCCTACCGCACAGTCCTGCCCAATCACTGAGGTAGGAGTTACAAGACCATGGCTAGAAAGGCCACACAGCAGTAATTCATCACACTGCAGAAGCCTTCTTGAGCACCTTATTTAAAATTGTGCCACTCTCCCCTCCACTCTAAAGGAGGGCACTATTAATAGTTATTCCAGGGCAACAGTCAAACCTGGGACTGTCCCTGGCAAGTTGGGATGCATGTCATTCCCCCCACCCCACTACCAGCTTTATGTTTCTGCATAGCTCCTATTCTTGTCAACTATTATTTTCCTTGTTTATTGTCAGTTTCCACCCACTAAAATGGAAGCTCCATGAAGGCGGGAATTTTTTTCTGTTTTGTTCACTGCTGTATCCCCAGGGTCTACCACAGGGCCTGGAATATTGCAGTCACTCAATAGATATTTGTTGAATAAATGAATGAGTGGGCATCTGGTGCTCAGGGGTAGGAAGTAAGGGAGAGGCTACAAGGCTTCCTTTAAGGCCAGCCTTAGGCTCAGAGAAGGCTCAGGTCTGAAAACTAGAAGCCCCATCCTTCTACCCTGCATTGCTTGGCTATTCTGCCAGAGCTCAGCTGCCCATTCTGCAGCCAGAGGCAGAGGACTCCAAGACACACTCCTGGTGCTGTCACCCCAGTCTTGCAGCAGCCTCCCTTCTAGCACAAAGAGTCCTTTGGAACCAGGCCACTGCTCTTGCCTTTTCAGCTCTCAGCCTGTCCCCAGCGCCACAGTGCACCAGCCACATGAAGCTGCTGGCCCTTCTCCAAACTTACCCTGGCCTGTGTCTGTTCTCTCTGCTTGGAACCTGAACACTCTCCTACTCCTCCACCTGGTGAGGCTTTTGCAACCTGGGAAAATCAACGAGGATAAAGGTACAGGGAAATGAGATACACGCTGCACAGAAAAGCAAACAGGCACAAAACCTTGAGGCGGCAGCTTGGCTGATGGGTCAAATTTTAAAATGTTTATCTCCTACAACCCAGAAACATCACTTCTAGTAAGATGTCCTGAGAAACATTCATACATTGTGCAAAGATGTCTGGATAAGCCTACTCATTGCAGCATTGTTTGTAAGAGAAAAAAAAAAAACCCACACACACCCTAGAAACAACAGTTTAGCAACAGGAAACGTGTTGCGTGGTCGTTTAGAACGATGTGGTGGTTTTATATGTAGTGATATGGGCAATTGTCCAAGATAAATTGCCGAGGGGAAAAGAAGCAAATTGGAAAAGAACGCACAGTATGCATTCTCATTCATGTTGGGACTATACTGCAAACAGATCCAAGATCATGGAGATGGCACAGGACTGGCAACATTTAGTTCTGCTACACATAACGTTGGAGCCGTGGTGGTGCAGTAGTTAAGAGGTCGGCTACTAGCCGAAAAGGTCAGCGGTTCAAATCCACCAGCTGCTCCTTGGAAACCCTACTGGGCGGTTCTACCTTGACCTATAGGGTCACTATGAGTTGGAATTGACTCAACAGCAACGAGTTTGGTTTGGTTTTTTGGTTATACATAACCTTGCCATGAGTCAGAGCCAACTCTACAGCAACCAACAACATATGTGTATGAGTGTAGGCACTGTATTAAAAAAAAAAATCTGGAAATTAACCTTATACAATGACTGCGGGAGAGGTAGATTGGCGAGGGGGACAGGCAGTCTTTGATTTTTTTCGGTGTGTGCAAAACTCTGTATTGTAAGAATTTCTTACCGCCCATATTAGCTTTGCAATTAAAAAACAAAAAACAGATACCAACAGCAAAAGTTTATTTATTTTCTCCAACACAGCTTAGGTTTTGTCTCCTCCGGAGAACTTTCCCTGATCCCATTGCCTCCACAACCTCCCCACTCCCACTATCCTCATTAAGCACCCTCTCTGAGCCTTAATTTTCTTTTCTGTAAAATGGGTTTTAATCATTTAACCGTATTACTCCTGAATTCACTCAATAAGTAGTTGCTGTTACAGTCAATCCTCATTAATTCACAAATTCCGAGTATGAGTATTCCGAGTATTTGTGAATTCGACCACTCACTATAATTTATTTGTAAGCACAAAGTCAATACCCAGGTTGCTTTTGCAGTCATTTGGGGACATGTGAAGAGCAGCGAAAAATCTAAATAGCCCAAAATGCACATTTCCAGCTGAGGCTGAACAAGGAGACACTCTGTCCTCTTGTTTCAGCTCTACTACTGTAAACAAGCGTCCTTTTTTTGGTCTACTTAGTGGCACGTTGGTGATTTTGCTGTTTAAAATGGCTCCCAGGCATAGTGCTGAAGTGCTGTCGTTAGCACAGAAAAGCTATGATATGGCTTATGGAGAAAATACCCGTATTTAGATAAACTTCGTTCAGGCATGAGATGTAGTACTGCTGGCCATGCGTTCAATGTTAGTGAATCAACAACATATACTAAATAAGGTGTCTATAAACAGAAACACATATACAACAAGGTTATGCATTGTTTAAGGGACCCTGGTGGCCAGTGGTTAAAGCGCCTGGCTGCCAACTGGTTCCAACCCACCAGCCGCTCCTAGGGAGAAAGATATGGCAGTCAGCTTCCCTAAAGATTACAGCCTTGGAAACCCTATGGGGACAGTTCTACCCAGTCCTATAGGGTTGCAATGAGTCAGAACTGACGGAACAGGTTTTTTCTTGATGCACTGATTGGTTGATGAAAGTGTTGTGACCAGAGGCTCACTGGAACCTAGCCCTGTATTTTCCCTAGGAGTAATGGTTCAGTATCTGCTATTCAGTGTTTGTGGGGACATTATACAACATAGCTACGGATTATCCTAGCACTTAAAACTCAGCAGCCAAGGCGCGAGGAGTGTGGGTTCTCAGGACTGCGAGAGACTCCCAGAAAGGGCAAAGAAATTCCGAAAAGTTTATACGCAAGAAGTACCGAAGTTTTCCCAAAACAGAGCCGAAGAACTGGGAAGAGGGGCCATCAAGGCCGCCGCGAGAGTCACGCAGGGCTTCCGAAGAAAGGCGAGAAGAGCTACTTACCGAGAGTAACCGAGGGTTTACGGAGACAGTCGAAAAGCTGGGAGGAAGGGCCACAAGTGGAGTCCCCGAGGGACACCGAAGGCTTCCGGAAAGACTCCCAACGGTTGGGAAGCGAAACGAGTTCGACAGGCGGAAGTGTCCGAGTGGCCGAGGAGGCGCTGTTTGAGTGGCCGAGGATTTCCGGAGCTAGCCGAAGCATCGCCGACAGTTTCCGGAGAGAGCCGAGGGGCTCCGACCGGAGGCACGGAGGCGCGATCATGGCGGTGCCCAGTGCTACCTCGGTTGAGACGAGCGAGGAGTTGGCGCCCGGCGATGAGGCGCTGGCCGCGGCCCGGGAGCGGAGCAGCCGCTTCTTGAGCGGCCTAGAGCTGGTGAAGCAGGGCGCCGAGGCGCGCGTGTTCCGAGGCCGTTTTCAGGGCCGCGCGGCCGTGGTGAAGCACCGCTTCCCCAAGGGTTACCGGCATCCGGCGCTGGAGGCGCGACTCAGCAGGCGGCGGACGGTGCAGGAGGCCCGGGCGCTGCTCCGCTGTCGCCGCGCAGGTGAGGCAGGCCCGGCTCCGGGACGTGGGGGTGCCCTGAGGCTCCGAAACCCCGGGAGATGGCGGGCGAGGGCCTCCCCGGCCGTCTTTGCCTTGGTTTGCCTCAGTTTCTCCATTTATACCGTCTGCCTTCTCTCTGCTTCATTAATTTTAAGAAGCCACGTGCTCTTGGCAGCAGTGAACATTTGCTCTGGATCCATTCCTCCTGGTTCACGTCCCAGATCTGCCACTGTTGCTCAACGTTGACCATGTTGTTAAACCTCCCTGAACCTCAGTTTCCCTATTTATATCTCTTTTAAGCTCAAATTTCGATTATTCATGTCTTTATTAGTTTTTTTTTTTTTTTTTCAGTAATATTTATTGTGTTTTTGGTGAAGGTATACACAGCAGTTTAGATTCCCATTCAATAAATTGTTCAGTGACATTGATTACATTCTTTAGGATGGGTGAACATTTTCATTATTTCTGTTCTGGTTGTTCCGTTTCCATTAGTCTATTTTCCCTGCTCCCTTACATTTTCATTTTTGTTTTAAAGTAATTATTGACCGTTTGGTCTCCTATGAATGATTTTTTAAAGGAACACAGTACTTACAGGTGATAGTCTTTGTTTTGTGAGCCAGTCTGTTATTTAGATAAAAGGTGATCCCAGGGGCTAGTTTTAGTTCAAGGTTCAAAGAGTATCTCAGGCAATAGTCTTGGGTAGTCCTCCAGTCTCAACTGGTCCAGTATATTTTTTTTTAATTTTGGAATTTGAGATTCTGTTCTACATTTTTCTCCTATTCTATCAGGTCCATCTATTATGTCCCTGATCACAAAGTTCCATGATAGTGGCAGCTGGGCACCATCTAGTTCTTCTGGTTTCAGGAGAGATGAGGCTGTGGTTTGTGTAGACTATTAGTCCTGTAGACTACTTTCTTCTCTGAATCTTTGGTTTCCTTCTTTCTCTTTTGCTCTGGGGTGAGTATAGGCCAACAGTTGTATCTTAGATGGCTGCTTGCGTGCTTTTAAGACCCTGACACTACTCACCAAACTAGGATGTAGGACATGAACTTTATGAACTGTATTATGCCAATTGACTGAGATGTCCCACGAGACTATGGTCTCGTTGGTTAGTTTTAAGAAACAGACTCTCTGCTTTCAAATGCCGACTCTTCTGCTTCATATGTAGCCAGCCCCTGAGCAAGTTATTTAACCTCTGAGCCTCAGTTTCCTCATGTGTAAAGTGGAAGTGATGGTAAGGTCCCCACCTCATAGGCATGTTGTGACAATTAGATGAGGTATGTTTACCATGTATTATGTTTGAATGTATGCCTGGCACAAAGCACTCAATAAATGTTAGATTTCATGAAATCATTCATTTTTTTTCCCATTGAAACACCATTGTGCTTGCGCCGACCACCATAGGTCTTATCTTCAGATGAGAAACTGAGGCTCACTGAGGGGAAGTAACTTGCCCATGGTCATACAGCCAGGCCTCTAGGCCATACCCATCTGACTTGGAAACACTGGTTTTTCACTTTTACACTTCTTGCTCTTCTTTCTTTCATTTCTGGTACCGACTGTGCATCAGGACATTGTTAGTGCTGGGAGATTTGGGGGGAATTCAGTGGTGAACAGGCAGGCACATCTCTGTCTTCCCTGGATTTAAGGAAGTTGTTTATGTGTTTGTATATTCTATTTTCACCCTTTCTAGGATGTAGGTTCCATTAAGCAGAAATTGTGGCTGCCTTGTTTACTTGGATCATCCCCACTGATAATGTCCCCAGTATCTACAACAGTGTCCCGAGCATGGTTGACGTTCAATAAAGATTCATTGAATGCACTCATTGGAGGTATTGTTCTCATGTTACAGAAGCAGAAACTGAGGCTCGGGGAAGTTGATGTAACTTTAAGGTTACATAACTAATAAGGAAGGTTGTTGGGATTTGAACCTTGTCCTTTCTGACTGCAAAGATCAATCTCTAAGCCAACATACTGCTTGGCCACCTGTCCTCTTCAGGTAGAAACTGCTCTGACTAGGCTGTGCCTCCCCTTCTGGCTCTTTGTTTTGTTTTGTTTTTTTAGGGAACAAGTATGGCAAATGAAGGCCAATCATAAATGGTGGTGTGGAAAAGGAGGAGGAAGCTTTGGCACTTCTAAGCTAGGCTGTGGGGTGGTCTTAGGCCCATTCCTGCCAGGAATGAGCAGGGGAAGCTTGCAGATGAATTATGCTGTACAAGGTCACACCATTTCCAAATCTTTTTCCTGAAATAAGCAGATAATAGACTGTAAAAAACTGGCTCAGTCTGAAAAACAAGCTTACCATTAAAAAAAAAAGAATCTAATCAATAATGGTCTACTTCTTGATTGCAGGGATATCTGCCCCAGTTGTCTTTTTTGTGGACTATGCTTCCAACTGTTTATACATGGAAGAAATTGAGGGCTCAGTGACTGTTCGAGATTATATTCAATCCACCATGGAGACTGAAAAAACTCCCCAGAGCCTCTCCTGCTTAGCCAAGGCAGTCGGGCAGGTTTTAGCTCGAATGCACGATGAAGACCTCATTCACGGTGATCTCACCACCTCCAACATGCTCCTGAAACCCCCCGTGGAACAGCTGAACATTGTGCTCATAGACTTTGGGCTGAGTTTCATTTCAGCACTTCCAGAAGATAAGGGAGTAGACCTCTATGTCCTCGAGAAAGCTTTCCTCAGTACTCATCCCAACACCGAGACTGTGTTTGAAGCTTTTCTGAAAAGCTACTCCTCCTCCTCCAAAAAGGCCAGACCAGTGCTAAAAAAATTAGATGAAGTACGCTTGAGAGGGAGAAAGAGGTCCATGGTTGGATAAAAGAATATGTGTGACAATCACACAGTTAGGATTTTTATTTCAAAGTCAATTTGAAAGAATGCTACAAGTATGAGTGAAGATCTAAATAAAAGTGTTGAGATATTTTTAAGTGGGGTCTGTAATCATGCTTGTGAAGCTTCTTTATCTGCAGTTGACTGTTATCAAGAACCACGCATGTATAGGACTTGTTCTAGGCAGAACTGAGTATTTAAAATAAATCTAGGACAGAATTTCTCCCAAACTGTGACATGCATGGCACAGGTACATGGGCATAACATTAAAATCATTGATCCACGTAATAACACTTCTCTCTTCAGTCCATTTTCAGCCCTCTAATCCAGCATGTGTAGGAGCCCTGGGGCACGGTGGTTAAGTACTCGGCTGCTAACCTAAAGGTCAGTGGTTTGAACCCACCAGCGGCTCTGCAGGAGAAAAGACCTGGCGATGTGCTTCCGTAAAGATTACAGCCCAGAAAACCCTATGGGGCAGTTCTCTGTCCTAGAGTTGGAATTGACTTGGTAGCAACGGGTTTGTTTTAATTTAGTATTATTTTTTTAAATTCTGTGCATGATGTATTTATCATGAAACCCATTTAGTGGGCTGCAACCTACATTTTTGAAATGAAATAGAAACACAGTTTAGAAAATAGACTGCATCACACGTATTGTTTTTTGTATCGTATGTATGGGGCTTTGATGTAAAATAGATTTCTACTTAAGAGTTATGGTAAAAAAAGAAGAAAAATTCTGCTTAACTCTAGTTTCTTTTTTTAAAAAAAAGGCTCATAATTTTCAGGCAACTAAAATTTATGTGATTTTATATAATATTAGGGAGCCCTGGTGGTACAGTGTTTAAGCACTCAGCTGCTCACTGAAAGGTAGGCAGTTTGAACCCGCAAGCTGCTCTGAGGGAGAAAGATGTGGCAGTCTGCTTCTGTAAAGATTTACAGCCTTGGAAACCCTGTGGGGGCAGTTCTGTGTCCTACAGGGTTGCTATGAGTTGGAATAGACTAGACAGTAGTGGGTTTTATATCACATTGTTTTTATTTTGTTCTAGATTTTTAGTGGTTACCTTCTAATTAAGACCAAAAAAAAAAAAAAAAAAAACTCGTTGCCATTGAGTTGACTGGTATAAAGTTTCCTTAAGTTTGTATAAGTAAACAAATGAGTGGATTTCTATCTCAGGCATAAGTAGAGCAAAAATGGTGAAGAGGCTTGTAAATGACTCAAGTTTGGTAAAGTCTTCTTTAAGGGAAGGTTCAGGAAAACTGAGTCTAAAAACAACTCTAAATTAGGTACTGTCCCATTCTATAGTTGAAGAAATGGGCTCAAAAGGAGGGAACTTCTCCAGGATGTCAACGAGAGGTACTTTTGCCTGGCTCCAAAGCTCATGTTCTTTCCACTAACTCCATAGGAAATGAGATACTGGATTTGACAGCTCTTTATATTATTATAATATGTATTGGCGTTATATGACATTATTTTCAAAGAACTCCTTTTTTTTCCAATTAATATTCTCAACATGACTGAGATGGTTCCTTCTTCCATTTCCTCATGTGCACTCTAAGGCTAATACCTACCTTGTAAGGTGAATGACTGACTGACGCCTGCAAGTAGTAATGCAGCAAGTACCAATGCTCACTATGTGCCTGGCCCTGGGGACGGGGACACAAAGGCTGTCCATGCTCTGGAGCTTTCTTTCTGAGAAACGTAAGTACCTAAGACAATGGCAGACAATGATGAGTGCTGTAAGGGGTGATGTGATCCTGAATGACCATGAAGAAGGACAGAGAGTGAGTGATCAGGGAAGGTCTCATGAGGTGACATTTGAACTAACGTGGAGGAAAAGCAGAAATGCAGGGAGATGGGGGGAGTGTATTCCTGGAAGGAGGGTCATCAGTTAATGGAGATTGTGAAGGACAAACATCATTGCGGGACAGCAGGGCCAGTGTGGCTGACATGCAGCCAGCATGGAGGAGCAGAGAGATTGAAGGGCGAGATAGGCAAGGGCCAGATCATGGAGGGCCTTGTGAAGAGGTTGGGTTTCATTCTTAATGGGATACAAAGGGTTTTAAATGGGATGACGTCTGGTTCACGTTTTGAAGAATTACACTAGTTGCTGGTAGAAAAAAAAGACAGCCAAGGCAAGAGCGGAAGCAAGAAGCCAGTGAGGAGGCTACTACAACTGGCCAATGGAGTGATGATGGCAGCCTGGGGTGGAGGCAGTGGAGAGCATGCCGCAAGTTCTTGGTACAGGGCCTGGCACCCGGTGGTGTGTGGAACATAGCGGCCGCAGCAGCAAGGGTAGTAGTAGTACCAGGAAGCAATAAAGATCTCCCTTGCAAGCATTAAGAGGGAGAGAGATAGGAAGTACCAGAGCGACTTCATCAGTGTTCCCGGGAAGAGTACTGTCCATCTGCGTAATGCGTCCTCAGCCCTTGGCCCATGGTAGGAAATGCGTGATTAACAAATATTAGTAGGCAAGCAGTGGACTCCTTCTCTATGTTACTGCTCGCGGAGGATAAGCTTCTCCAATCTGATATCCATCCCTGTCCCCGTGGGGAAGCGTGAATGCTTTGCAGTGATGAGCCAACAGCACGAGCAACTTCATATGAATCTACCTCAGCGACCCCACCAGTTAGGGATTACGATTGCCCGCTTTATAGATGAGGAAACAGTCTCAGCAACGTGAAATACCACGTCCCAAGTGACGAGCTGGGGCTTAAACCTAAGTTTCTAACAACAACAGCTAACTTTACTGAGCAGTAACTAAGTTCTTTGCATCCATTAACCCATTTTACAGAGGAGGCAACTGAGGCACAGAGGTACTAAGTATCTGGTCCAAAGTCACACGACAGAGCCAGGACAATGTGATGTGACACTGAGATGTGTCCAACACTAAAAAGGACACAGGCCTACATTTCCTGGAACGCTTAAAAGTTCTCTTATGACCTTAAAAGTTCTCTTATAACCAGTCCATGGAGCCAAGAGTTAGATAGTTCAGAATGGAGTTACCTGTAAAGCCTAGTTTAGGGAGTCCTCCATACGAGACGTTGTGTTCTTGTTGTTATATAGGATGAGCTGACCATGCTCTCACCACGTGTTGGCTGAGGGGATTTGGGAGCACCTACGTTACTGAACCAGTTGCTGTTGAGTCAGTTCTGACTCATGGCAACCCGATGTGTGTCAGAACTGCGCTTCATAGGATTTTCAGTGGCTGATCTTCCTGAAGTAGATCTCCAGGCCTTCCGAGGTACCTCTGGGTGGACTCAAACCTCCAATATTTCAGTTAGCAAATGGGTGTGTTAATTGTTTGCACTACTCAGGGCTAACTTGACAGTCGACGTCAGCATTTGTGAAGGCACTTAGAGTTTAATCTCTGTAGTATAACTACAAAAGTAAACCCTGATTCCTGATCCTAGTTCCAATAAGCTTTATTTACAAAAAACAGGCAGCTGGCCCGTGATCCATAGTTTACCAGTTTGATTTTTTTCAAAATACTGCATGAAAATCTTTGTCTTAATTACTGGCTTTTTTTGGCGCTGCCTTAAATGTAAATGTTGCGCCCCCAGGGAATGCCTCACTTGCCTCACCTTAGTCCTACCCCTGCTGTCACTTGCTGCTAGAGCCCCTGCGGCAGAGGCCCATGTTCTTACAAGTGCCTGCCCCAACCCTCCTTTTGGAAACTGGGAGTCTCCTGTTGTGTCCTTAATTCATTTAAGGCACTGCAACTCCAAGGGACTGAACCTCCTTTCCGGAGGTTGGAGAAGTGTATCTGTCTTGCCACCAGAGGTCGCAAGTTACCGTCATTCTCTGTGTAAAGAAATACATAGCTTCCCTCCCCATCCAGTCTCCCTCCTCCACTTCCTTCCCTTCTCCTCACCCCTCGTTCTTTCCCTCCCTTCTCTATCCTTCCTTTCCAACTTCCAGTCTCTTCCTCCTGCCCTTCTTTCTCCTCTCCCTTCCCCACCTTCTCCCTCCCTCTCTTTCTTCCCACTGTCTCCTCCTTCCTTGAATTGATTCGTTTATTCATTCAACACCTAGCTGAGCACTGATGTGTGGAGGCCACCTGGCTAACCACCTAGGAGGTATCTAGCAAGACAGACATGGGAGTAGGGAGTTCCCTCCTGTCTTAACTTTTTCACCTTTCTCCCCCTTCTTTACTCATTCATTCACTGGGCACTTATTGGGCACCTTGGGTGTGTCAAGCTCTGTGCTGAATCCTGAAGAAGCTTCAGGGCTGAGCAAGTCCAGCTGCCACCCTGGAGATCCCTCGCCCCTCACAACGCTAGAATGACTCCCCTCTTTCACGCCACGCCCCTATCAACCCATCAACAAATCCTGTCAGCTTTACTTTCAAAATATCAGGAAGTTAGGAAAGTGGCTACCCTTGGGGGAGGGGCTCTGAGGGGCTTCTGGGGTGATGGCCAAGTTCTGTTTCTTAAGCTGGGCGCTGGTTACATGGGTGAGTCTGGTTTGTAAAAATTCATCCAACTGCACGTACACTTTTCAGTACGTATGTTAGACTTCGATAAAAAGCTTGTGAACGTATGATCGAAACCTCCCCTTCACACCACCTCACAGCCACCTTCATGGTTAGGTCTGTGATCTTTTGCCTGAACCATTGCAGCAGCCTCCCCACCGGTCTCCTTGCTCCTGCCTCACCTCCTGACAGTCGATTTTCCACACAGCAACCCAAGGAATCCCGTGTAAATCTCAGTTCAGGTCATGCCATTCCTCTGCCCAAAACATTTCAGCAGCTCCCACCTCACTCAGGATGCCCCCACCCCAACACCCTTACGTGTCTGACCCCCTCTTCTGTTTCCCCCTCCCTCACTCACTCTGGTCCAGCCACACCGGCTCCTCGCCGTTCTTCCAACATGCCTTCCCGCCTCAGGGCCTCTGTACTTGCTGTTCCCTTTGCCTGGAACACTGTTCCCCACAGATCTTCCCATGGCTGCCACCTTCATGTTCTTCACATGTCTGCCCAAATGCCATTTTATCTGAAAGGCCTTCCATGAACACCCTATTTAAAAGGGTAGCACCCTAGTCCCAGCCCCCTTATTTGCCTTCTCAGCTTTATCCACCTCCCTGGCACTCACAACCACCG